GGCCTGACTACTTGCTTATCCCAGAATGGGAAAAGAGACAAAGTATCTCGGCAAATAGGCCCTGACAATCAAGTTCCATCAACAACAACAAAACTGTGAACTTGCAACAATATTCACGTGTTTCAGTTTGGAGCGATAGTTCCAGTTCCTGATTAGCGAATTACGTTTGCGCTGAATGTTATGACTGCCGGAATGTGCAAAGAGTCCAATCAGTGAGATACGAACAGAAGGGCAATTGCGATATCAGTTGCCTAATGTTGTTGGAGTATTTCGCTAGTGGAACACATTATTACTACCTGATATTTGCCATCCTTTTACCACATTTCGAACACTCGCTGCTGTTACCGACGACTATCCTTTGACTCAGAATATTGCGGAGCCTCGCTTCGTGGGATTCGAGACCACCGCGAATACTTGACGTCGTATGAGCGAGTGGTTCTCCTCTTATACCACTGTTGATAATGCTTTGATCTAGTATGAACCTTGAAAAAGTATATTAGGTCGTGAATGCCATTTTTCATACGGTTTGCTTCGTGCTGTGTATTGGGACACAAAGCAGGCGTTTTTCCCGTGACGCTTTTAATGGGTGCCAGGGAGCAAAATCTTAGCAATTCGAAGTGGGATTTCCGATGTTCGTGCAACGATGACTTCTCTGAGCAGCTGTCTGTTGCCGAGGGACGGCGCACGTTTTCAGAAATATTCCATCAAAAATTGATTACGGAGTGTTAAAATTTTTGCTGCCGGGATCACGATTCGAACCTGATCATTTAAGGACTTCATGGGGGACATCTGCATTTATTCCCTAAAAGAAAAACGAATTTGAACTAACCCTTTCCATTGAACAGAGAACGAAATAAACTGACAGAACAGGCATCATTGTGGGTTGTTTGCAGAACAGCATGTAGAGCCTTCCATAGAGTAGACAATGGCGTATCAGGTGGAATGAGTTGGAGAGCATACACTTAAAACTTTAGCGGTTTTCTGAGGTCGTGAACTCTGAATCTTTATTTCATTATGTATCATTTTACTTGCTTGACTACTACCACCGGGAATAGATCGAGTATATAGTTTTTAGGGTGTAGGCAACTCTTTTTCGAGAACACCAGCAATCATTGGATCTGAAGGGCTTACGAATGCTCGGAACAGTTGCAAATATACCTGAAAGCTGAATATCGCTATCAAACTGCTGCATAGTTCACCATATTTTTCCACCTACAGTCGGTATTTCAGACGGAACCTTAGAATTTTCATGGCGGACCCCCCTTCCTTCCCACCCTCTCTCCTTGTTGCTATTGTGTTATGGATGACCTTTCATTATCAAGCAACTTATTTCGTTCCTTTGATCGCTCTTTCGCCCTATATGATGGTCGAGAGTGGTCGTCAATTCTAGCACCCACGTTCTGTTCTTATACCACCAGAAAGGTCGATTTCAATGAGCTCGTCAGGGTACAGCTGGGGCATGTTGCGAATGTCAGGTCGTGAGTTTACGACCACCTCCTCCGCTCCACGCGAGACGATGAGATATATGTCGGCGAAAAAAGTTGTCGAGTGAGGAGTTATGCAATAGGGGCAGGTTACAAATAATATGCACGGTAAGGTATCCCGGTGTAAAAATGCATATATAGTGATATTAAAAATTTACTACGACCCCCTTTTTTTCCACAAGAAAATCAACTTTACAAGTAATTTTGTCTTCCAAATAGACCTCCTCCCCAGAGAAAAGTAACGCTTCCATAGACCTCCCTCCCAGATCAAAAGTACGACCCCCCATGGGTTCGACACAACGATGTTTTACCTGTTGAGCTGAAACCCTTTGAGCGCGTTTTGGAGCGGTTGAATCAAATCTACCTTCAGATTTCATATGAAGAGGTTTCGCTATGAACGTGCTTTAGGGCGCAACAGGTAGCGAGCGGGTTTCTTAGACGAGACGTCGTAGGTTCGGCACTTCATTTTTGCATTTGTTCAAGAACATGGCCGACAAAGCTTCTAACATCCATCTCGGCTTGCGAACCCCTTAAAAGAAACTGTCGTATACATTGAGGGCTGTATAGACTATCAGCACTCCAATGTCGAGTGCTGTCGTGGTCCCACGCCACAAACATGCCGGGAATGGAGTTACGCGGCCGATGACCAGCTAATTCTTCAGTGCTCCGCCACTGCCTTTTTACGGCGCAGATTCCCGCCGTTCATAACATCCGTTGCAAGCGCGCCTGTCGCGTGCGGCTCCTTGGCACTTTGCCAAGTCCTTTAATTGCGCTCTCAAATACAGTAAAACGCAATTTCCTGATGCGGATAACATTGGAGGTGCTACAAAATAAGAGCAGAAGATGATGACGAGGGTCAGAACCTAAAAGCGACTGTGCCACTTCTGCAACATCCCTCGGAGGCCACGTATTTCTCACGCAAACATGAATAAAATTAAAACGCATTAAACTGTTGTTTATATACAAGCAAGCGGCTTTTATCATTTGATGCGAATAAAATTTGAAGGTGTTGGATCATCTTCAATCCATGTACATGAGATTAGAAGATGACACAGGCTAGAAATGAAGCACAACGATGTAAATGTAAACAAAACAAAAATGAAAAAAATCAAGGAAAGGCAAATTAGATAAACTGGCCTGTAAATTTCTACGATCCGGCGCCAAAGCCATAGAAATACTTAGAACAAACGAGTGGGACGCTTGGGCTGTTTTTATTTTCATGTTTTGTGGGAATGCGCGGCCCTTGATGGATACTGCAGATGCAGCCGAGTTGCTCTTGAGTTCTGCCCCTTGTCATCATCTTCTGCTCTTATTTTGTAGCACCTCCAATGTTATCCGCATCAGGAAATTGCGTTTTTCTTTGTATTTGAGAGCGCAATTAAAGGACTTGGCAAAGTGCCAAGGAGCCGCACGCGACAGGCGCGCTTGCAACGGATGTTATGAACGGCGGGAATCTGCGCCGTAAAAAGGCAGTGGGCGGAGCATGGAGATTAGCGTGTTTCACGGCCCTGTATCTCCATTCCCGGGCATGTTTGGGAGGCACGGGACCACACACATCGATCTGGAGGGTATAGTATATCCCCTCAATGTGTATGAGCGTACTATGTTGTCTTTAAGGAACTCGATCAGTTTTTTTTCGAAGCTGTATTACTTTATGGGCCTGAAGACGGTTTTGTTTTCACTTGTAACACATGTCACAAGGCGTTATTGGCAATGGTAATATTACCATGTAATTCATTTCAGGGGTCAATTTACCCTAGGAAAAGGAAAGTCTAGGACCGAATCCAATATTTAGACCCAATTGGAAACTGTTGACTATCCTTAGGTAATTAGCCGGCACTGGAGCCATTGCACCATCGATGATGGCTTGCGGATGGAATGTCCTTCGGGTAAAGCAGGTGAAATGGATGACACGGTCAAATAAGTGAGCACGGTATTGTCTCAGCGAAAAGAATGGGCTAAAGAGTTATTTTCAGCTCGAAGATCAGGTCATCACAGATAGGTATCGTATATTCGCTGTTGGCTATCAGTCGAGATTTGGACTGTCGCAAACCCTTTTTATCGAGTGTTTGAGTAGAACTCAGATTTCGCTAGGTTGACGGTCTCTAGGGGTTATTTGACCCTTTTAGACACGAATATGATACATATTTAGCGCAGCGAAAAGAGCTTGGAGTCGCCGTCTACAGGTTTAGAAAACATGTGAATGAAACCCCATAATCCATTCAGAGAAACCGTTTCAGCAAATTTGTAGTTTTGAGTTCACCGTGTCAAGATTAGCACAACAATGTGCATCTCATTGCAAAAAGCCGGGCTGACCTGCTGACCTTTCCTGGTCAATTTGGTTCAATTTTGCCTTGGTCAGCCCTTCCTCTGGCGCAACCATGGAATATTATCGGTATGAGGAAAACGGGCACATAGAACTCCTCAGCAAAACGAAGGGACTACAAACTGTCGCTCTTTTTCTCACCAACTATACTGCAGCAACTGTCGGAAGTGAAACGACCTCAGTTATCAGAAATGGAGTTTTGCTATGTTGTGACTAGTTTGGGGGAAAAGAGATATAGTAGAAAGAAAGACTCAAAGATAAGAAAGGAGAGACCAAATTATGACCGTCTGATGTTGCGGGCTTGATGATGTGCATGCCGGACACAAGTGTTTGGGCGCATGAATGAAGAAATTTCTTTAGTTCATTAAAGTCCTTAGACGTAATCATAAGTGGACGCTGATTGATGCTGACGGAATATTGCGCCAGCGTTGCTCATAGGAGCCCGGCGTACCTGTGAGTTAATTTCATCATTTTATTCAGTGAATACAACGTTGCAGTACTCCTCCTGCCCAGCATCGAGTCATTCAAATACGAGCGTATAAAATTGCAAAGCCTGTAAATCCAAAATGAACTTAGTTCAGGCTTATCGAGAGAGAAAAAAAACTTATTGGGTTCTAAGAGAGGCCTTAAGCCTGATTCATGGTGTTTCAGATCACAAGAACTGCGTCTTTCTTTGATAGAACGCTTAAAAAGTATTTATCTCATTGAAAAAAGAGATCATCGTGACAGTACATATGGTATTTCGCGTATGCATTACGCTGGTTTAATTGATTATATGTTTGAGAAAGACATAACCGATCATGCGCTCGACCGTACGATACAAACCTCATTTCTGGCACAATTAGCCATTTATGACCCAATCTCCGAAGTCTGAATAAAAAGTTGACCAGGAATTTCCCCCCCCCCTAAGGGTACCCTGACAACTGGACGCAAATAGCACATTTTTGACCTGGAAGGGAGCAATGCCAACGTCCTCCTAGACCCTAGCGTTAGGCCTTTTCGCGTAATGGTCCTCCGCACTCATGGGATCAAAATAACACTCGGAATGAATTTCGAACTAGGCTTGCTCTTTAGTTAAATACTGATAAAAATCTAGGCTTAAGTCTGAAAAGTGAGGCAGTAGAGTGTAAAAACGCCATTTTTTCAACTTGCAGAAAAAAGTAGTCAGTAGTGGTTTTTGGTGAGTCGTATCAGAACTGCAGCTTACCTGAGTTACTGAGTTGTAGAAGAACAGCTTGAGGACTGAAGTATAACGAAAATCGCAGAAACTTTATCAGTCGACGCCGCATCTCGCCCAGTTCGCCACCCTCGTCTCCAGCACGAGAAATGTTTTCCTCTGTAATGCGAAACTTAAGGCACTCACAGCAGAGTACCACCTTTATTATACTGAAAATGACGGAAGGACAGAACTTTCGGCGCTTACTCACTCTTTGAGGTTGCGCCATGCATTCTGCTTTCACTGGCTTCTGAAAGTGCATTATGAAAGCGTTTTGGTCTATAGAGTGATTTGCGTGCCAGTTGTATAGAAGTCTTTGTTTGCTTTCAGAAGGGTCTGGTCCCAACTGGCCGCAGAAGAAATGGAAAGCCACGTTAGCCCTGACAGGAGTCGATAGACCGTGTAATTGAAAGATAGTGCCGTTTCTCACTGCACTACCACCATCCCGTTTTCTCTACAATCTGGCTGAATCTGCGCTTTCCTGCCCCACTCTTCGAAATTCATTTCGGAATTCGACAAAAAACTTTCTTTTCAGATACATTTGGCCGATAAATTGTTCTGAAGATCTGCCCCCCCCCTCCCCGAATTTATAAACAAGAAAATCCGTCAAAAAAAGACTAGCGTTCGCGCCACAACCACCAATGTCACAGGAAGCCCGAAGCCCATAGCACACGCACAAGGGGTTACCACGCGAACATGGGGTGGTATCCTTAACCAAGGCGGGGAGTTGTTTTGAGGTATTTTGACCCCGGGATCAGTAACGGATAATTTGCTCAGCGGGCGCTCAAGTTTCGCATTAAAGGAGGCAAATTACTTATGAGTCTTAGCCAAAAATGCCTATGCAGGGAACTTCCAGCCACAATCCGGCTGAAATTCCGAAGAGAGGTAGTAAAAGATGAATATGCCTACAACCCTTATTGAGAGCGAACTCCAAAATATGAAATTCAATACGAACCATCTGGAAAAGCGTGTTCATAGTCCTGCTGGAGCAACTTCAAGTTGATAATGTAGTGTTCTACGAGTGTGTCATGGAACTTTGGGCGAGTTTCATCCCATTTGTATATTATGTGTTCCTATAATATGTGCGTGAAAAATAGGGGTGGGCACAGATTCACAAAACTAAAGGTAATTACTGAGCTTTGAAGATATAGGAGACATCAACTCTATAATTTGGTAGTGTAAAGGCTCCAGCACTTTGACTGAACAACAACGGCAACGTTCCTTATCAGCCCCTATCAGCTGTTATCACTTCCTGTCACCCGCCGTCGCCGTCCCCACCTCCCTCTTCTATATCATTTGCTGAAATCAACGCCTAGCTGATGCTGTGTCCCGCGTTATGAGTATGGTGACCTTCCCATTCTAACTCCCCTTATCAAATCTTATCAGCTGCTAGCAGTTCTTGTCACCCACCAATAATGTTCCTGTGCCATAGCCTATATCATACCTTGGAACAAACGTCCCAGTGTTGCTGTGACCCGCGCTATGGACTCGGTGACCCTCCCCTTCTGACGCCTCTTATCAGATCTTATCAGCT